CCCCAAAACCCCAAAACCCCAAAACCCCAAAACCCCAATTTATTGTATTAAAATTGTCAATTTCAAAAATAAAAATTATTAATTTTCATGGAAGGCAGAATGAACAAGTCGTTTAGCCACCCTCCTAAAAGGAGTAAGAGCAGTATGTCCTCCAGCACGAGTAGGAGTCCATCCAGGTTTATCAATGAGAGTAGCTACAAAGAGAAGAATGGTGACTTCGCATACCGCACTGCTGATGTGACTAAACGGGATGCCTCAAGACGTAAGCGAAACCTCAGTGTCAGGGAGATGGTTAACTCACACAACTTAAACAACTCTGACTTTGGTGTACAAGGATATCATATCCCTAAATTCAATGCCTATTTTGATAAACCTATTAGTCTGAAATGGGTCAAGAACAAAATCCCCACTATGTGGGAAACTATAGAAAAATCATCCAAGAAGGCACCTTCTCCGGATCATTATCAAAAATAATTTGAAACTCATGGGCAAGAATGCTAATTTCTTCAGCTCAAAGCTTAAGAGAAAGTCCCAGATAGATGAAATTTTTGAAAAAGAGAAAAAGAAGCCCTCTCCTTGTACTTACAAGCCGAAGGAAATCCAATCTAAGCGGGGTATTTTCAACTCGAAGGTTAACAGAGACGGCTTTATAGAGGAAGCTAAGTTCAGATCTAAGGAAAGCCCACCTCCTTATGCAGCGAAGTATTCCCAAGTCCATACTAGGGTGAGGGGAAGGTCTTTCCTCCCGACCAAAAAGACCAATATGGACCCGATAAAATAAGATCAATAAGCCTGATATGGGAAGTTATAATGGAGATAAAGCCTATATGAAGACTGTAAAAAGAGTCAGGGTGCCTAGTATAGTCAAGAATAATATTCCCTTAATCCAGGACTTAAAGATTAAGCACACGAAGAACATCCCTGGCGTCGGCTCCTACCAGTGGGATAGGAGCTTTAACCACTCAACCAGAGCCCCCTTGTTTAGAAAGGGAAGATATTAAGTTAATTCTAACTGAAAATTATTCCAATTGCTAATTTAAATTTCGGGGTTTTGGGGTTTTGGGGTTTTGGGGTTTTGGGG